AAAAAAAAAAAAAAAGCGCTTCAGAGATGGATCAGCGTCTCGTACGAAGGAGATGTGAAGCCGTACTCTGAGCCGTCTCGCAGACCACTCCGTTCTCCAGATCGTCCAAGCAGCTGACACGTTCCCACTTGCCCGTGTCGCTGTGCACGGCCACGCACGTTTCCATGGGCACAAAGTCCGACGGGGACGAGCCCGGTTCCCAGTTGGTAAACTTGACCGGCTCTTCGTCGAACCACATCATGCCTTCACCTGGTAAGAGTGATTTGCGTCAGCACAAATACTACTGGACTACTGCTCAAACAAATCACTGATGCGCATCTTTCACTTCCTAAATGCTGAAAAAAAAAATTTTGTGCCTCCATTATGAGAAAAAAAAGGATATCCTGAAGCTGTGTCAGGATGTACAGTGAGCTGGGTGGGGGGGGAAGTTGCTTTTTACTTGTTCTTTGACGAAAACCAAAAGTCTAAATCACAATTAGTGAGCTTATATAAAAAAAACTCAATAAACAAATGAGACCAGGAAAAACATATGAAAACTTTGAACTTCCATCCCTGTTCTGTACGAGAATAAAATTGCATTTAGGGAACAACCCAAAAAGTTGATCTTGGCAACAAGCCCGCATCTTTCCACAAGTTTGCGGTCACATGACACTTACTGTTTGTATCGTAATACATTCCGAGCCACACGTTGACTTCGCCTTTCCACACCTCGGGACTATATTTAACCACAAAGTCATTCTCCTCAGCGCTCTGGATGGACAGCAGCTCTGAAAAAAAAAAAAGACATACACTGACTAGCCACAACAGTAGGAACACCTGCAACCGACATTGATTCCCACCCCACCCCCCAAAAAAAGCATGGCAGCCGTGTCATTGTGAATACTCAATTTTGGACGTACCAGAGTGTGGGCAGAGGCTTTTGGCACTCTCAAAATTATACACTTTGAGTTTGTCTTCTTCTCCGTGGACAAAGTGGTAGCATCTGTCTTTAAAGGGCACCCAGGTGCGTCCATCGGAGGGACAGTCTGCGGAGAGAGCATGATGGGAAAACTTTCAGGCGGTGTTTTGTCAAGGTAAAAACTCAACTTGTATGGCCCTTTAGGGACAAAAACCGAAAGGGCTTCCAATCGAGAAAATGCTTTCCCAGTCGCATCTATGATGCCACTTGTGACAAACGTTCACTGTTTAATACCCTTAAAGACGATAATTCCAACAACAGATTAGTTTATTTCTTGATGCGAGTAAATCTGCTTAAAATGATCCGGATTAGTTAAACCATTTAAACTTCTCTAACTGCTCCGCGGTAATCCCACTTTTGCAGTTGTCAGTTATACTCAACGTTTCGGAAATTATAATGAGAACTAAACATCCTTCGAAGGGCATTAAAACCTGATGTGCGAGCTATTTAAGTCATTTTTCGTTCGCTGGAGCTTCACAACTCGGAAGTTTCGGATGATTAAACAGGTATGATCCCGACATTAATTCCAAAATTGCAGCTATCACTCTTTGATAGGTAATACTGATTTATGACACGGTAATCTCAATAGATGAAGAAATCGCCCAACGTTAAACCAACAGTGGTAAATTTATCTCGTTAGGCCATTCAAATGCCTTGTTTTTGTCGTAACGCTTGTATGGCGACAAAAGAGAAATCTTAAAGGGATTAACGGCCAGTTAACAGGAAATTGTGCAATTTGAAACCACACAACGATGGTTCCAAAACTTGACTGCAGAGTAAACAACAGCATCGACATTTTGGCTGACTTTTTGGAAATGCTTTAACATTCACAACCCAAAAAAAACAAGACAAGTTATCACGCAGAAAAAGAGGCCCATGAACTGCACGTAATCAAGACAGTGTCGAGTGTCATCATTGCGTTATAACGAAAGTACGTCGGACGAAGTTCGCCGCGGTCCTTACCTCCAGTCCAAGCCGCCTGCAGCTGCAGAAGAAGCACACACAAGCAGCACGTCAGGGACGCAGCACGACGACCATTTTTCTGCGGCAACTCCATGACAGAAAAGAGCCACAAGAAGCAGCAAAACTCCCCACTTGTTTCTTCTGCACGGAGAGATCGCCCCGCCCACCAGTTCGGACCAAACATGCCTGCGGAGGGGGAAACCAGAACGTTCAGTAGTGTGACATAACTAGTGTTAAAAAGAAAGAAAGAAAAAGACAATAAGCATCACGTTTCAACCCTCACAAAGCGTGCATTGTATTTTGTAGCCGACTCATTTTTTTAAACGTAGTACAAGATGATTTGAACGTGGACAAAATGTCATCCAACTTGATGTCAAATTGCCCTTTTACATTTCGTTGTGTTTTTACATTGTTTATAGATTAACACAGCCCAGAAACGCACTAGGTGCGTCTGTAAACGTTAACAAGAACCTAAAAACAACCACAACAACGGTGCAGAAATTGCAATGTCAAATGACGCGTTCAAAGCTCAAAAAGACAATACGAAAATTGGAAACAGCTTTATTATTTACTGCGGTCACGCAGTTTCTTATGGATACAATGATTCCAGAAAAAAATAATCACTCGCAATATAGTTGGAAATGTAAGTTTAAAACTGGAAAACTACAATAATAATTCGAATTACGTCTTCAATTTTGCCGAATCAGAACAGGGTTATTTAAAAGCTGATGACACCAGAACGCCTCTGACCAATTCTTTTTGGAAGACGCCCGTGTACAATCATGGCATCTGTATTATAAGAACATGCATTTAAAAAAAAAAAAAATACCAGGACACTGCCCAAGATATGTGCATGTAAAAAAATAAATATGATCATGCTGCAGGGGTTAAAAATGGTGGGCTTACCTTACCTGTTACCCGGAAGTAAAGGACGTGGACGTCATCGACCGCTGCATTTGAATGCATCATTTTTGTTTGTTCGAAATCCTACAAAAACTATTAAGGCGACGGATATCATCCATGGGCATTTCCTCGCTGGAGTTGATTGCATGGACTTCGGCCTAGAAACAAGGATGGTGCTCATAGGATTCTAACATGTGGATTTAAAGCGCCTTTATCGGTGAGTTTGTTTTGTTTGTTGAAGCTTTTAAGTGGGGCTGGCCAGGGGAGGTTGCACTTGTTGTGTGGTTTCCCATTAACAGAGTTTATTTCGATAAAATAAATGTAATACAACTTTTCTGTGAAAAATACTGTATTGATATTTATGATAGGATACAGGAGCTTGTTTTGAGTCCTTCTTATTGCGTGGTCGGCTTTGTCAGAATATGAAATGACAAGGTATATTTCGATAAAATAAATGTAATACAACTTTTCTGTGAAAAATACTGTATTGATATTTATGATAGGATACAGGAGCTTGTTTTGAGTCCTGATTGGGTGGTCGGCTTTGTCAGAATATGAAATGACAAGGTAATGCTTCGGTGCGTTTTCACAGCCACCATTGGACCGATTTGTGGGCACAGGTGTTTCTCTTGTTGGTGAGACTGCAATGAATGAGACGAAAAAGTGGCCCCCAGTGTTAAAATTCTCCAAAAGTGATAAACAACTTATTCATTCTATTTTTTTCAATAGTTTGTGGGTTATTTATGCCCAATACAAGACCCCCCCCCCAAAAAAAAATAGTACAGGTTACATAAACAAATTTGAGGCGTTGTAGTTTATGCAAAACTTCAAGGGGGCGCTCGGGCACAAAAACTTGACAGCTGGGGCACGAGCTCTGGTCTTCGTCTGGGAGCCGGCGGCCTCCCGCAGGGACACTGTGAGGGCCCATCTGTCGTGGCAAAGCCTGCCCAAGAGCTGTGCTGCCACATCCGAGCGTATTGCGTCCCCCCCAACCCATTGCTTCCATCCACCTTCTGCGCTTTGCCTCCTGATGATCTTGTCAGTGATGCCATGTGACAGTGTCGATTTCTATTTACTTGGGCTTCCCCCTTTGGCTTGAAAGAACATTGCTGGGGAACCGAGCACAAGCATGTTACTGAACTATTTTTTTAGCTGCTATTTTTTATTTTATTTTTTTTTACCAGATTGTGACATGGAAAGGAAATAATTGGGTCAATATCAAATCTGTTGCTTATTTCCTCTCTCCAAATTATTTTTAGACACAACAGCGTTGTGCTAGTAAATGCACTTTATGGCAACACCTGTTTTGTTTTTTTTCTCCCTTAAGAGAGAAAGAAAGAAGGCGTCTTGTTTATTCATGTCGATGACACACTTTTGTTTTAAACTGGGAAAACAAGTTAGTTTAACACAGGCAACCATTTCAAGAAAAAAAACAGTTGATTCAGCAACTGTTGTCTTATTCACCAAAAAAAATATGAATACACTTAAAAAAAATCTGTTTCCTTTTATTTAAAAAAAAAATCCAAGTAAAAAGAATAAACCTGAGGCAGAAATCTACAAGGGGAACCAAGTTCGGCCCTAACAAACACTACCAAACAGACATAAAGCTTTTTACTGTACAAATAAATCACCACAGGCAAGAATGTGGTACAAATCAATAACGACAAAACCAAACTTTTCATAAACCTCTTCCTCAATCTCTGTACAAAAACATCTTTATAAATTACCTTTCTTCTCATTACAACCTAATGACTGTTCAACATGATGGTTGCTTGTTAGAGCAGTTTTTCTTTGACACACTTCTGCAATTTTCGACCCCCGATACCATGGCACTTGGTTCAGACGCCTTTCGGGCAGCAAAATCTCACAAAACGGTATTAGCTCTCAGTCTCGGGCGTGACGCATAACCTCAGTAACGCTTGACACCCAACTAATGGCGCTTGTGAGTTTGTCTCCACCCACGATGGGGTGTCAAACTATTAGAAAATGAGCACATATCCAGTGAACACCAACTTATTGTCCTTGGAATCTACTGAGGTGGAAGTAGAAGTTGTTGTTGACTAAAGCTAGAAGCGTGCGGTTGAACCCCCCTTCCTGAAAACAAAAACACAACGTTCAAAGATGCTTGGAAGAAAAACCTTTTCAGGAAAAAAAAATTTTAAAAATCCTAAAGGAAACGACACCGTGTGACCAGCTCCTGAGCTTAGAATTTGGTCTGGGAAGTGGGCTGGACTTGCTAACCCGGTTTAGAACTGAGGAACATTGAAAAACTGAGGTAGATATCTGGTCTGACTGACCACTTGTTGGAATAGCAGAAGGGCACCTTGATCAAGAATGTTACCAAAAAAAAAAATAGAGATATAGATTGAAAGCACCACTTGTCATATCAGATCAAACCACGTTTTTTTTTTAAACACTAGCTCCTCATTATCATATTGCCTCGTCTCCTTTTCTGTCAGAACACAAGTAGTCTGTGGCACTTGTTGGATTCCGGCCTACTTTTTTATGCTTGTTAGCCTCCATATTTACAACTACCTGTCCGTATGCTAGCTGAGTGTAAATGTTGAGAAAAGGCACAGTCCGTCGCCGCAAGCTTTACTTTGGAGAGTCACCCCGCTTTCTGGTAAAAGACACCGATTCTGTTTCCTCCGTATATAAAACTCCTACTCTTTGGTGATAAAACAAAGTGCCGACTGTTGGTTTCCTATTCAAAACGGAGGTACGATACAATGCGTGTCTCCTGTTAGCTCCCACAAAGTCCATTGTCAAGGCTTTGTTGTGTGTGTGCGTGTGTGTGTGTGTGTGTGTACAATTCTAAATCTGTGTGTTCCTCTTGGCTTGTTAAATAAAAGTAAAAAAAAAAAAAAAGTCATCTAAAAAGCAACCCAAAGTTACCACGAAAAAAAGGATTCTTGCCTCTCCAACTTAATGTCAGCTAGCTTAAATGAGATGGGCAAAAAAAAAAAAAAAAAAAGGCTAGATCCAAAAGCAAAAAATCTCGGACCATGTAAAGTAATCTTTTTCCAAATAAATATCAAAACAAAATCAACAGGCGTCAGTACATTTCTACATCTACTCCGTGGGCCGGGTGCCGCAAAAACACATGACGTAGCTCATTTACAAAGCAACAGCCCCTCGCTTCCGTTTCTTTTTTTTTTTTTTTTTTGGTGGCGATCTAAACAATCACTGTAGCAAAACTGTTAAGGCAAACTGTAATCGGATAGCATTGTCATCTGAAAGCACGACGGGAGAGGAAAACGTGAAACACTTGGCCATGGCAACACTCGCACAGCAAGCACAAAAAACGTCCAAATATCAAAGCAGAAAAAGACATTGATCACCATCATGCACGTTTTTTTTTCTTCTTGTATTTGCTGGCAATCTTTGGTAAAAAATAAACCTTTTTTTCTTGTACGAAAATTTTAAAAAAACTTTTCAAAACATGGTCTTTTAGTAGTTAAAATCATTTGATAAAGCGAAGAGTATTCTTTTCGGCTCCTCCAAAACGATCGCAAAAAAAAAAAAAATAGCCTCGCGACAATTGCAAAACCAGTGCAAAACGGTTGAAGGCCTTGTAGCGTTCATTGCTTTTTCTTGCCGGGATTGCTGTAGTGGTTGTCCAAACGTTAAGTCTGCACTACTTGGTTTGTTGGTAGACGTACGACGACGGATTGCCCGAAGTGTCCACCTGAGACCCGACTCCATTTTCCTGAAAGACAGAACACCCAGGTTGCCAATAGTTACCCTTTTTCCCGGTTGGGCCGAAAAGGTTTTAGCTTCTGGACGGTGATGCGCTTACATCTCCGGGGACAGCTGTTGGCTGCATGTGCGTGTACTGAGGGATGTAAGCACTCGGCATCGGACTGCTGGTGGCCATGAACTGGAAACAGAGAGATGGCGATGGTCATACGCGAGGTGCTGGAAGTTCCAGGACTGATGTCACAACTGATATACGGTGGTGCCTTGAGATACAAGTTGAAAGTGTTCCCTGACCACGGTCATAAATCAAAACACTGTCTCTCAAATGGTCTTTCCGGGTCGTGAATGGAAAACCAATAGTTCAGTTTTAGCTTCCCCGCCATGTTGGCGTTTGTGTCTATTTTTTTTTTAAGGAAAAATATTGCTATGCCTACTTTGGCCACTGGGTGGCAGTATTATACCGTACAGCAAGGCTCACCAGTGATATGATGTGTGGATGTGTCGGACCACCGTTGTTCACTATTCATGGATTTTAAAAGCGTGACTATCGATGACAACTGTTAGCATGTCAGTTTGTCTGGCACTGAACCGACCAGATTTTTTCAAGGCAAAGCTATGGGATTGATTCCAAAACTAAATGTGTAATTCTCTTAGTTTCAGAGTAAAATTTAAACATGAAGACCCTTTTTTTTTTTCAATATTTTCCAAACTGCTGCTTTTTGTGAAGTGGATTCATTGAGTTCACTGCCACGACAAAGTGCTGCTATCACAAGTTTGCGCTTGCAAAAAAAAAAAAAAAAAAAAAGGGGCTGAATAGAAGCTTGTATCTATAAAAAAAAGTAAGTTGGCTCACTCATTCAGAGCCAAACTACGAGTTTTCCCCTTCAATGTGGGCAAGACGATCAACTCGTGCGTCTCCAAAGAAATGCTGCGGCGTTTGCTTCACGAGAACTTGAGAGGCGAGTTGCCTGAAGCATCCGATGGTTCCCGGCTGAGAATAAACATTGCCGTGCCGGGGCAACCTGACCTGGCTCGGCGTGAATTTCTCCACCCCCTCCATTCCCAAGCTCAAGGAGTCATTTAAGGACCGGTTTTGATGACTGGGATGACATCAAGATTCCCTGACAACGGCGCTGTGGAAGATCCTGAAAGAAGGCCTCTCAGGAGAGCTCGAAGGCTTGGCAAAGTGCGTTCGACTTCGGGGGGGATGACTTGCACAAAGGGAACGTTTTGTCATTTTTGGATTTGAACCGCATCTTTTGTGACAAAATGTCGTGGAACTTCCCTGCTAACAGAGCATTTCTGATCAAAGACGTTGTGAGACAAAACGCTGTACTCTCACCGCTCCTGCGTTGCCCAAAGACATATGACTCATTTGCTGGGCCAGGGGAGTCATCAGGGATGTCGGCTGCAGTGACAACGATGGCTCCACAGAGGGCGATATGACTGCACTCTGGAAACACAAGTGAGGGGAATGGATGAAGATGGCGGAACGACATCAACCGTAAATGTTGAAATCTTTTCTTTTTCAAAAATGTGAATTTTTTTTAGAGGCTGACACCTTTTAACTGTCATTTTAAATTGTGTTTTTTTTTTTTTTTCCCGATGCCATGACCAGAGCAGGGGACGGTCATACGGGGCGGTCAGGTTGCATGCACGTTGGCCTTTTTTTAGAACAAAGCAAAACCAGAGATCTCATTCCATGACCATCTTTACGATTCGTATCATAACACACCTGTTAGGTCTGTCCTGGTACTTAATAATAATTGTACTGTATGGATCGCCTTGTGTGGGGAAAAAAAAAGGTTTCACTTCTACTCTGAACCATTTAAGACAAAAAAAAAGACTAAGGGTGCTTACGGGGTGCTGCATGATGTAGGGCTGATGAGGCATCCACGACGGGTTCTGCACCTGTAAGGTCACACAGAAACAATGAGGTCATCCTTCTGATTCTCTTTTACTTGATGACAAGCCATGGACATGCAGGAATGTTGTATCATAATGTGTAAAAATGATGCTTGTTTTGGATTCTCTTTTAAAATAGCGATACCTGAGCACCTCCTTTATTTAATCAAATTGGAGCAACCCGTTTTTTTTGTTTGTTTTTTAGTTTAAATTTAAGTAAAAAATTATTACCAGTGCTAAACAGTGGCAGTGACCAATTCAATACACACTTTATTGCCAAGTTACGTAACCCTTCAAGCAATGGATATTTAAACACAAACGGTGCCGCAGCACATGCAGACATCGATGGGCTCTTGAGAAAATTGTGGCAGTTGGGTACACGTGTACAGTACTTGCATCAAGAGAGTCAAGAACCCGAACCTGGTATGCTGAAACCGGAGACATGTACGTGGACAAGGGCGTGTGAGCAATCATCCTGTTTGAAATGCTGTACGCTGTCGGGAAGAATCTGTGCGCACCAAATGAGAAGCATGTGTAGCATTCGGTGAGATTGACTACACGGAGTGCAAAAGGATTTCACAAGCAAGCACGGCGTACCCGTTTTGCATGGCAGCTGCGCTGGGATCATACGTGAGTGTCATTCCAGCCTGGAGGGAAAAAGAACAAGTTGAGGAAAAAAAATGCCGAAGAATGCATTGTCGTCACGACAACCCCCCCCCCCCACACCCAACATGTGTGTAATGTGCGGGTGTTGTGTGTTATGAGGCCATACGCGCGATCTCTGCAATTTCAGCATGAGCACATGACAGTGGAGCCATTTTTAAAATATTATGTTCTCTTGTTAGTCACATGACACTCTTGTTTGAAATTTATAAGCAGCCTGTATATCGTAATTATGGTCACGGACAATTGCGCTAGCTGTCACCTTAATAACCAAGCAACAAATGTGATGTTAGTCATCACCGAGCCATCCGCACGGCTATTTTGATGTTCAGAAGATACATTAACGTCAATCTCACTGATTGTTACCCGGTTTCGGGTCCCGCTCGACTTTCTCACCGGGCACCGTCAGTGGGGAGCGACATCACGGCGATTACACGGCACGCCGCTCGCCTCGCGACTGACGGACTTGACGAACTTCTACATCAGCGGCAGCAAAACGGTTGGCTTCCATTCGACGAACGTAAACGCGCGTGGCAGTGATTGAGTTCATGGGACCGCCTCAGTTAAGCTTTTCCTCTGAAATTCGGGAAAAAAGTGAGTCCAACTTACCAGTCTGGCGTTTCCATCTCGTAGCCAACCGCGACCGTTCTGAACAAACTTGTTTTGGCTTTGTCTCTTTTTCTGCCCGCCATCGGCAAACTTGCAAAGCAAAGGTTCAGCGGGTGCTGGATTGGGGAGCAAGAGAATTGAAAGCGGGCTTTATCAAAAGCGGTCTGGGTAACAATATTATGTGTCGTGTTTTCCCAACAGTCGTTTACTAAGCAGCCAGACAACACGAGCTTCTAATTTGCCGACTGAGGGCCTGTAAACCCCCACGGCCTTCTGAAAGGAGGCATGACTGCAAGGGACTATTTCTGTCAGATAATCCAATTAAAAAGATTAGACTGGGAGTGGAGGGCGCAGTGAGCCTCTTAGGCTGAATGTATACGATCCCTCTCGCTGCAGACCCCGATTTGGAAGGAGGAAACAGTTGGCTGACCGCGTCCCGCCTCCTTGACACAGCTCGTGCGTCCAGCATCTGAACACTCACCGATTCATCTTGACTTCCGTTCACTGTGACCGAATTATCATGATTCATTTGGTGCCGTATGATTCGGCTCATAGAAGATAAACGCAGAAATGGAATATTTGCAAGGTTTTGAATGCCAATGCGAGATTCTTTACCTGGAACACCGGCAGGCGTCTTGATGAACTTGCCGTTGAAGTGAGAAATGACTGCGTCGCATTTTTCTGTGGACTCCATCCTGAATGTACGGGAGACAAGGAGCACAGTCGGGTCAGCGAGAAGGTTGCCATCGCCTTCGATCAATCAGTAAAAGTACAAGATTTACTAAAAATAAAAAAAGGAGATTATGAGAAAAGACCGTACTGCTCTTGAAAAAAGGTGGCTTACGTTGAAGCTGGAAAGAAATTTGCCTTCATTTCTACAAGTGCAACTGCAACTTAACATCACAGTTGGGTTCACGTTTTGGGTCGGAACAGATTTAATCAAGACTCGGTCTTTTCGGTCATGATCATTCGTGCAGATATGAAGTTTTAAGAGTCTTACACGATGACATTTCCTTGATTGGCCGTTTTGTTGAAAGAACTTTTTAGTCAAAAGCTCTGTGCCGGATGGAGTCAAATCATGCTGCTCAGAGCAATTGCGCCACAGCAGAGATTTGCAAGGGTGTCGCGCAATTTCCCATCGCCGATGCCTCGGTTGTTCTTGAGAACGCAAAGTGGCTCAACGGCGCCGCTCCTGGTGGCAGCCCAGTGATGAACTGCAGTTTCCGCATACGGACTTTCGTCTATTTAGCAGCGGTGTAGTCAACAAAAACGGTCTTTGGAGGCAATTGGTGGGTGTAAATATGGCTACTGTCTGTCAACATGAGGGATTTTTTTTTTTTAAATAGTTAAATGGGTTTTTAAAAAAATGAACAAGGCTGCCACAAAACGTTCGTTGTCCGGCAAAGTAAACGTGGTCGCCAGCCATGTTTATCGTCCAAGTGTTAACATTTACACCGCGTGGGAGAGTTAAGACTTGCATACTCAGCAGTGGCGAAAAAAAAAAGTGTCCTACCTGGCAAAGCCCACTCCTCTGCTCGCTCCGCCCGAGTCCCTCAAGATACGAGTGGATATAACCTGGCCAAAGTGCTTCAGCATGTTCTCCAGCTCCTGCTCGTCCATGGACAGGGGCAGGTTGGAAATATACAAGTTGGTTGGGTCTTGCTCTTGTTGCTGAAGGGCAAAAAAAGGGGCGAGAGGTTCAATCGCTACGTCGAAGCGCACGACTCAAAAGCGTCTGCGTTCATCTCCGGCTGTCTCGATGGTTAGCTTTAGCTTCCAAAACGGCCACGCTGAACAATTGTGCTCTCGAGCATCACGCAGTCACAGTTTTCATGCTCAGCTCATTTCTCTTCTAATAGTATCAGCAGAAATGTGAGAGATGGCGACAAGGCCCCGGGGAGTTGGGCTCTCGTCATTAATATTCATCAGCATTCGAGCGCCGCGTTCAGTGCCAGACGGTCGGCAAGGTGACACACGGCAAGGGGAAAAAAAAACAAAAATCAACAGTTCGCATTTGAACGTAATGCAGCAGGCCAAAGAAAATAGAATCCAGAAGGAACTGGTTCAGAACGCACAACTGGTTTGGCGAGATCGGAGGAGGGGGGGGGGGGATGTCGTCGTGTTTGAGCATCTTGATTGTCTCGACAAGATGCAGGAGACGACGCGACGGTCGAGGGAGTGTGCAGGGCCGATATTACTTCCTAAATGTGACTTTGTTGTATGAATGTCGGCAGAGTATAGATGAACTGTGGGCGACATACCAGAAGGAACATGCAATGCCTCTTTGTGTTCATGATTGTAATTTGCATCATTAATGAAGGTTGACTAAGATGAGGGCTCGGTTCCATTCAGCCTGCGGCGCAGGTGTCAAACTCGAGGCCCGCCACGTCATAGCCTACGGCGCAGGCGCAGGTGTCAAACTCGAGGCCCGCCACGTCATTGTATGTGGCCTCCCGAAAGAAAATCGCGCGTGTCAACTTCCAAAATGTCAAATAGTCACGAATAAGAAATAATGTTGCGAGAATTCTGTGACCCTCTTTACGCTCACTTGAATAATAATGGACAAACTATTATAGTGGACTTGACTCTTTTCAAAACAAACAATCCATGAATTTGTTGTGTGCAAGTATTGATGAGATGAGACGATTTAAACATTTTTGTAGTTTCACTGTCAAAACGGCCCTCCGAGGGAAGACAAAAACTCCAAAGTGGCCCGCGACCAAAATGAGTTTGACGCTAAGTATGAGGCCTCGCCTTTCAGGTCACGGAGGATGAACGTTTTCTTTGCGCGTTTCGACGATCTCGAGTCTTTGCTGTGCTGCAAATTCCTCCACCCTGACCGGATTCCTTTTTACTTGAGACAAAAAGTAGACGAATCACACTGAACGATGAGGTTTTTTGAAGTGCAAGCACTTACTGGCAAAGGCAAAGGTAACCTAAAAGAGTTTTGTGCACTTTATTTGGGCACCAGTAACCTTCCACAGTGCAAAGATTAAACTTCGGGACACCCCTCGAGGCTGCCCTCTCCGGATCAAAAGACAAAATGGGCGATACTGAATCCAAAGTCCAAAAGTACCGCAGATCCCCAAACAAGGGAATGAGGCCAAGGGGTTCTGGCTGACTGCTGGAGGAGAAGTAATTCCCCCGACTGGCTTCTGCTTACCACGACAATGCAAAGCTCACGTCCAACATCAAGTACAGCAAATAACAGTTATTACAAAAACTCCAACTTTTGGGGCTTGATAATTGAATTTGAGTTGTGGGTGTGGTTTCATTTTTGACGGTTAAATGCTCTGACTTGGGCATCACCCATATGGTAGTACGGTACATATTCGCGTCATAGCTGCTGATTGGCACCACTGACGGGAACCTCGTCAACCAATTCGGGTGTTGCGATCCTAGCGGAAGCCCTTCGAAGCACCGTGAGAGTTGCGCATGAAAACATGAGCAACATACAGCGCGGCAAAGGACCACGATGACGACGTCTTAAGGGTAAAGATCACAGTGCGATATTTCAGACAACGATGCGTGTTTTCAAGAGTGATGGTGATGGTTTATAACAGGGGTGTCAAACTCGTTTTTGTCGCGGGCCACATTGTAGTCACGGGTTCCCTTCGAGGGCCGTTATGAATTTTGAGAAACCATATAAATGTTGAATCACCTCCACATATTACAGACACAGCGCACAACAAATTGATGCAGAACTAGTTTTAAAATCAGAAGTCAAAAACAATGACTGCTATTGTGGATTACATATGACAATTTGACATTTTCCTTCAGACTTTATCACGCATCATGCAACTTGACATGCTTGATTTGCTCTCGCGGGCCAGATAAAATGATGTGGCAGGCCAGATCTGGCCCCCGGGCCTCGACTTTGACACCTGTGGTTTAAAAGTCCGATTTCGGACAAGGGAGAGAAAGACAAGGATGAGCATGATGAACTAACAGTGGATGGGCGCTATGAATACATTTAGCGCTGAACGTAATGGCAGCCATTTTGGCAATGACACAGTACCTCAGTCTGTGAAACTATGCATTCTCCTCCCATTTGTTTGACTGGCAAAAGGAAAAACCAGTGGAGCAGGCAGCACGCTCATGAAACTTTGTGCATGCTGCACACTTGTGTGGAGATGGCAATGGTTTTGTGCAAGGTCCACCGTTTTGTATGACGGAGCACAAAAGGGAAGCAAAACTGCTTGCATGTTTGAAAAATGTGGGAATTAGTTGTTTTATTTTCATGTGTCATGTGTGTGTGTGTGTGCAAAGGTCCTTTGAAAACAGTTGAAGGCGCACACAAGTGGGTGAATATGAAAAGACAGACCTTCGCCATCTGAGCTTGAACGCCGCTGGTCTTTAGGGCAGCCACAGCTTTCTGAGCTGCGGTGGGGCTATCAAAATCCACAAAGCCGTATCCTGAAGGAGACAAGTAGGACAGTCAGGGCGACGTACGGCATTCGTCAATCATATCATGTCGCTTGACCTGTCTCTGGTGGAAGGTTTCATCCTTGACTAAACGAAACCTTCTTTTGTTGTACCCGCACGTCGATAATTGTGTCGGTCGATACGCTTTGGATGTGTACGCGCGTGGAAGACGAGCGGCAAAAAAAGCGCTGACGTGCAGCTAGCGGGGGTGATGTGAACGGCTGAGGTCAGCTCTTTGTTCTGCGGCGTACAAACACGGTGAAGCCATCGTGCCTGGCTCCTAGCCGAGCTATTTTTAGCCCGTTCAAACTAAATAAAGGCGAATGTGTGATTGCTCTTTTAAAGCCTTTGTCGCTGGGTACGCTGCCATTTGGAAAGGTGATGATGCCGGATTGAAATTTTGAACGCTTCGAACTCCAAATCCAGCGTCATGGGGCATTTTTGCATTGACTTGTCGTGCGTGTGTGGAACAGTACAAGTAGACGGGACAACATTTCAATGGGCACTTAACGGAGATCTGTACTGGGTCACTCAACAGAGTCTGCTACTTCCCATGGGAAACCCCCCCC